CTTACCTATGCAAGTTAAATGTGGGTTTCTCCTTAGCTATGCCCAGCAAGGGAGGCTGATAAGAGTAGCCCTTGTGATGGAGCAGGTGACTTCAAGTTCACAAAGTTGTGAGAACTTTACAGTAAATGCTTTTTGTCAACCAATAAGCCAGTAATAACAGACCGACTGCATGAAAGCCCATAGCTACTCCAATCTCAGGATCTCTACAGAGAGTTTGCTGCTGGCAACCGTGAAGACAAGGTTCCCATGGGAACGGAGAGTGCTGACATCTCTAAACTAAAAAAAGAAAGAAGGAGGAAAGTATCTAGTCTGCAAAACCACATGGACATGGATGTACAGAATATATTTCTCTTTTCCCAGTAAGAAGGTTTTCAGTGCTTGAAGGTAAGAGGCTTTTAAAATAATCTGGGTGTAAAGATATTGCAACGTTTCAAAGGTGCAAGCAAAGTTACATTTATTTATTTTTGCTGTGTCATTCCAGGCAGATGTCCTGGAAAGTTTATTTGTACATGGAGGCTTTACCTGCGACTACATGAAAGAAGATAAAGCTCCAGCACAAGAATCATGCTGAGCCATTTGTCTTTCCCATATAAAATGATTGAGATAAACAAGACAAATGTAAATGCCATAGTGCTGTAGTTAAATTGTCTGTAAAGACAATACAGCACCACACTGCCGTTCACTTGTGGCATGGTTATTTCATGCCTTAGAGCATGGATGGCCACCAAGGCTAGCGAGTGGCCGCAGAAGTGACCCTCCATCTCAGGGGGTGACAATATTGTCGTAACCCAGACAGTCTCCCAGAATAGAGTAGTTTTGCTCACTGCGCTTGCGTACCTAGAATTTACGGGGGGGGGGGGGGAACTGAACTGAAGCAACACTGTGATTGGACGCAGAGGGAGAGCACAGCTCTCACAGTCAGTGTTGTGTGCAACCAGCATGCACCTCACTTCACGTGCCCAGGCTGTACATGTGTGTCACTTAGTAAAACTGATAGGAAAAAAAAACCTACTCGGACCAAAACCAGCGGACTCTGGCAACCCTGCACTTGGGCAATGGCGAACAAACCGTCTTGTGGGGCCGCACACAGAGCCCAGATGGGCTGCAGGTTGCCCACCGCTGCCGTAGCGTTCCCAACAGAATCCCTTTTTGGCTTGAGCCGACGTTCCTCGTGCTGTCAGGTCAGACCAGCACTGAACGGACGGCTCACTCAGTAGGGAAGTAGACACTGGTGTCCCCTAAATTCACGTCTCCCCAATAAAGGTCACAGATTGACAATGGTGCATGGAGCTTCATCGGTGAGGGTGACCCCGCTAGCCTGCCCAGCAGTCACACTGCACACTGGCTGCATTATGATACAGTTTCTCAGAGCGCCAAAGGGGGGCGGGAGGGGAATGGACTCACAAAAAAGGGCGTCTGTGTGAGCGTCTGCCTTTCTTAATACAAGATCCCTGAGAGGGGAGGTAGGAAAAGTGGTCAGGGAGGGGACTTTCGCAAGTGGTACAGGATTCTGAAAGTGCCTCAGGAAACGTTCAGGGGCTGGAAGAGAGGAGGAGGAAATATTATATTTTGTTGACCATGTGGGTAAAATAGATATTTCTATAACAAATACAGTCAATGAACGGCATCCTCTCTTGTGGGCGGGGCCTACTGTAGGTTTAAGGACAAGGGGCTGCAGATGCACCTGACAGATTTATGGACAGGACTGAGAGACTCTTCCATCGGACAGCCACCTTCCACGTCCACAAATGTGTCGAGCCTTTAAGAGGTTGGAGATAGAGATTTACAGTGACTTACTTAGAGACTAACTACAACATATATATATATATTATCATGAGCTTTCGTGGGCAAAACCCATTTCCTCCCTAACTGAGGAAGTGGGTTTTGCCCACGAAAAACTCATGATACTATAACACTAACACACATACACACACACTGTTCATTTCTAAATTGCTACAGGACAACTCATTGTTTTTAATGTATTTTAGGAGATTATTACAGAAATCCACAAGTACCAGCTCCAAATTCCCCTGGTGCTCCCCTTTTCTAACCTCCCCCTGTATCCTCAAATCCCCCCTCCCTGCTTCTCTCGCAGCTCTTGACGCTGTCTGTGCCTCAGTTCTCATTTGTTGTAGACCATGCGGGGGAGGGGAGAATTTTAAAGCTAGCACCCAAAGAAAACCTCTCCCCCGGGCGCCCATTGTTCTCATCAGCTGCCTCATTCAGAGAGCTGACAAAGAGCTCCTGGACATAGCAGTCGCCCTGAGTTAGAGACCAGTGAAAGACCATTGCTCCTTTCCCACAGTATTTCCATTTTCAGCCCTCAAGTGCCTTGCAAATAACTGAAATTGGGAAATGTCAAACTTGTTAAATACGAGAGAGAGAGCTAATCAGAGAGGAGAAAGCCTTTAGCTCAGGCAGTAATCGATAAGTTTTGGATGGGAGGGGGAATAGGGAGAAAGGTTGCTGAAGCCTCTTTGGAACCAGAGCCAGGTGCCCACGCACAGTCCCAAGTGGTAAGCCCGTGTCTACACTTGGAACACGACAGCAGCGGGAGTTCTCCCATCAGCGGTTAATCCACCCTCAAGGAGGCATTAGCTAGGTCAACAGAATTCTACCATCAACCCAGTACGGCCTACACGGGGGGCTAGCTTAACTACATCCCCGCAGGGGTCTGCATTTTTCACACCCCGAATGGCATAGTCAGGCTGTTTTAACTTGTAAGTGTAGACAGCACCTAAGTGCATTTTACAACAACTGCCTTTGGAACGTTGGTTTCTTTGCCATTGGCAGGGAAGTCAGTAAGCGTGTGTGATCATTTGTTTTACAGATGGACAGACTGAGGCTGAGAGGTTAGAGAGCTTCCCAGCATCACAACACAGATTAGGATCACACCTGGGATTACGACTCCTAGTATTCAACCAGGCCTCTCTCTTGTCCTGACGCAAAGTCTCGGCCCACTAAAGTCCAGTGGAATTTTGCTATTCATTTCAATGAGGCCAGAATTTCACCCATGATAATTCACCAGTTCCTACCTTTAGCTTGGGAAGGGAATTACTGACTGTAAATTGGCAGGTCTCCCTCACGTCACTGTGTGCATGTAGGTGTGTGCACACGCATTCAGCTACTTGTGTATTTTTAAATATTTGTTCCCTGCATTGTTGTGACACACCCTCGAATTGCTTGTTTCCCTCGCCTGTGTGCGGTTTAAGCAGCCGCTTCCACGCTGCAATGTTGCCTTTTGGGGCGCTAGAAATAGTATATTAGACCAATGGCTGGCAAGGGAGCGGTTTCCCAAGGAACACTCACCAGACGAGCAGCGGGCGCACTCTCCAGGTGGCATCCTGCTTCCGCAGTTCAGATGGCGCGGAGCGGGGTTGAAAGTGAACAAAGCAGGAGGGATGAGTGGGGGCGTACAATGACTCAGCCCAGCACCTTGACCTGCAGGCGGCATCTGACAACTTGCTGTTGTCACACTGGTCAGCACGCCCCTAATTATAAACAGGGCTACTTCCAGGAAGTGCCCATGGTTTAGCTCAAAGGAGACGGCAATGTTCACAAAGGTCCATGCCTAAGTACGACAGAGCTGGTTTCCTAGATCAGTTTACATGCTGTGCTCCCAGCCTGTGGCTGTTCTCCTCTTGTGCCGCATCGCGCCGGCGGACTGGTGCACAGCGGGGCGATATCTACCAAGCAGCGCTCATGCTGAGCAGAGCCCCAACTTACCGCATCCAGGGCATGGCCATAAGCAAAAGGGCTCTGGAGATAGGTGCTGTAAGTCCAGATTCACTGGGCACAATTATTTTACCGAGCTGTGGGGAGCCTGGGGCTCTTGAGAATGTGGGGCACTGCATACACGTGCAGACCAGCAAAACAGGCAACAAGGCCCTAAATAAGAACTCCCAGTCCCATGCCTTCCAAAAAGACATATAGAACAGTAATGACTGCTGCCTCTCAAGGAAGGCATTGTGCAGAGTCCATGCCAACCCATCCAAATGTAATCAGTGCAGGTGAGGCAGCATCTGCTATGACGAGATGGTGCCAAGAGGGTGCAGTAACGGAGGTTCTCCGAGGAGAGTTCCTGTGGGTACTCCACCGTAGGGGACTATAGATCTAGTGCTTTGGCTAGTCAGTATCTTGCACAGTGGCCAGAACGGCGTGGCTAAACCGAGTGCCCTGGGAGAGGCGTGTCTCAAGGGCATAGTGCCTGGTGAACGTACGAGAAGAGGTATGTTATTCAGGAAGGCCGTAGAAACTGCCATGGCCCTCGCAGAGTGGGCACGTAGTTGCAATGGAGGGTCTCAACCAAAGATGGAGTAAGCCGGTCTGATGCAGTCCACTATCCAGCTGGTGTTGGGGCTGTTTGCAATGCAGGCACTGGGTGGTGGCGGGTGCCTGCCCCAGGCACCAGGCACACTGCGAATGCCCATCAGAAACAGGAATCTGCAGGACAGGCAGTGTTTGAATCCCGGGGAACCTGGCATCCCTGGAAGAAAGTCTTGTTAAGGCAAATGGCCTTAACAATAACAACAAAAAAAAGGGGGGAGTTGGGTTTCTTTTTTTTTTTTTTTTTTTTGAATAACAGTAACTAGAAAAAGCTACTCACTGTGAACACTATTAGTAAACTATACTAATGATAATAACAAGAAATATTAGAATTTGGACAAAAATGCTGGAGAGCAGCTGCGGTTCTGACCGACGCTGGCGGCGGCAGAGAGGGAACTGAAGGGACGGCTGGCTGCGCATGCATAGTAACAGCACCATACGTGCTGTCTGCTCCTCCTGCGCGGCCTACCGGAGGGCACTGCTATCAAAAGCTCTCCGAATAGGCGCACAGCCGTGCCCTAGACACCTAAGGTGGAGCACTCACAGGGGCACTTCTCGGAGAACAACTATACACCTAAGGTGGAGCACTCTTCAGAGAACAACTATACCCTTTTCACAGCTAAGTGTACAAATCTTGCAGAGTCTGTCCAAACCACACCAGAACTTTTCCAGGACCAATTTTATTATTTTAAATTAGGAGAAATTGAACCTCTCTGGTCCAGGACTGTCTGGTCCAGCAACATCAGTGGCCTGGGGCAGGGAGCAGGGCCGCTGGCCCGGGCCAGGGAGCCTTGCCAGTCGGAGCAGCACCAGCGGTTTGGATTTGAGCCCTGCTAGCAGGCCAGGGGCAGCTCACTGGCCAGGTCAGCAGCCAACAGGGGAGCCCTGGGAGAGCCCAAGTCCTGACCTCCCTTGGTCAAGCAAACTCCCTGGTTCAGGACCACTCTGGTCCCAAAGTTGCTGGACCAAGGAGTTCCAACCCATAGTATTAACACCAGCTGAAAAAAGAGTTGTCCATAGCCAAGTATCTTCCCCACTAAGGAGAAATGGGCGTGGACTGTCACTACAAGAGAACCCTTGAAATCTCCTCCTAACTGCTAGGCCAGGCCTCAAGCAAGCAAACATTTGCTAACAGGCGCAGTTCTTCTGGGACGTCAGCAGAACTCCTGCCGGCAGTAAGCATTGCACCCAGGCACATGAGTCAGCCCCTCTGCTGCGATCTCTTACAAATGCTGTATTTCCCCAAAGGCTCCACAAAGGCAGCCCCCGCTGTATTCATGGCGTGTTGCCGTTGCCAACATCTAGCTGCTCCCTGATGAAATCCTGCTCTGAAATACATCAGCTTTTCCGCGGGAATGATTCTGGGGGTGATCAGGTCAGGGCCTCCCAGCCAATATTCTCACAGCTTCTGCCAGACCAGACCAGCTGCTTGCCATGCACGTTCAAAGTCCTTGAAACGCGGCTGCGCACACTCTTAAGTCTGGAAGGCACAGAACAAAAGGGGCGTAAGATGTCCAACAGAAAACATTGCTAAAAACACCCTGTCTGTGGGGATTTCTCTGGCTGTTTAGCTTAAAAAGAGAGCGACACATTATTCAGTGGTCTTAAGCATTGTTTGGGTTGGGCTGTAACCCTCTTTTCTTATAAAAAGAAGAGAGCAAGCTGCTCTCTGCAGCTCTGCATTGTGTTAGTGACAGGCCTTGGCTTCCCAGGACAAAGAAAACGAAGCAACACATTCTGCAGGAAACAGGCTGAGGGAACGTAACCCCTTCTTAGCATGGGCCACTCTCAAGCAGACAGGATAACAAGGGCTGCTTTGCACTTACAGGCCAGACCACGTGCTTATTGTTTGCTAGTGCAACCACTGTTGTGTGACGAAATTGCACGGTGGCCATGGTTCAATGACATTTCTTTTTTTTAAAAGGTGTCTGAGAGCCAAATTCTGACCCATGTTGTTGAACTCTCAATAGCAAAGCTGGTATAATGAAGATCAGAATCCAGCCCTGATTATAGATTCTCTTCAACTCCAAACTGCTCTCATAGTGACAAGAGTTCACTCTCTTTTGGCATGTCGCTTGCCACAGGGAAAAAGAAGGACAGGGATCATTCATCTTCTTGAGGTTATGCCAGTACCTGCGTTACCCATAACGGGTCAGCGCTAACCATCAGTCAGACAATACGATTTCCCCTTTACGCACCCATAATGCGATTTCCCAGGATTGCTGAATTAGGTGAAAATGAGATTCACTCTCTGTGCCAAGACAGGTTTCTGCAGTAGGTCCTTACAGATGCAGTGAGAATGTGACAATTTAGGGTAAACTCAGAACAAACTTCCTGATGGGGAATTAAATCATGGGATAGATTTCCAAGGAACATGGTGGAATTGTCTTTGCTTGGAATTGTCTTTGCTTAGAATATTTTCAACTTGATTACAAGAGCACTGGAGTATATAATGCTGGTCTCATCTGGCATGACCAGACCCAAAATGCTGGATCTGAACTCCCCTACCCTTTGGGAAAGGTGGACTCTGAATTCAAACTTCATGGACTGGCCTCACTTCCAATGTGCTATTCTGTCAAATAAAGTCATGACTAGAGTCTGTTAGTAGAAACAGGATTTTAAATCACCCATATGACATAGTGCATCTCTCGCCAGGCCTAATGTTTAGGTCAGGAACTTACCACTAGAACCAACTGTAAGTACATTAAACCATCTGATAGTCTGAAGCCAGGTCTACGCTACCCAAGAAAGCTGACCTAAGATATGCAACTCCAGCTACGAGACTTGCGTAGCTGGAGTTGATGCACCTTAAATCGAATTTCTGCAGCATCTGCACTGAGGGAAGTCATGGGAGAAACTCTCTAATCCATTTCCCTTACTCCTCATGATCCTGTGGAGTACTAGGGTTGACAAGGGTGCCATCAGTGGTTGATTTAGTGGGTCCTTACCAGATCCACTAAATCAAACCTCAGAAGATCGATTTCCAGAGGGTTAATCTCCAGGTAAGTGTATAGCTAGCCTGAACTCCAGAAAATCAACCCAGAGCCCAGCTAAAATAATAAATACTCAGCTAAAGAATTAAAGCTATTCTTCCCATCCATCCTACATCATTTTTTCCTCTGAGGATGCAGGGCCTGCATTTCAGCCAACCCTGAAAGGGAACCTCCCTTTTGGCCCCTCAAATTGTCTAGATGTATATTACTTGCCAAGCAGACAATGAACTGGCTAGATAGATTCATGGAGGATAGGTCCACTAATGGCTATAGCCAGGATGGGCAGGAATGATGTCCCTAACTTCTGTTTCTCTGGAGGGGGGTGACAGGGGAGGGATCATGTGAGGATAACCTGTTGTGATCCCTCCAAGTATTGGCCACTGTTGGCAGACAGGATACTGGGCTCGATGAACCTTTGGTGTGACCCAAAATGGCCGTTCTACTGTGTAAGACTATGTATTGTTTTTTCAGTTTTTCCAGTTACAGACTAACAAGGCTCCCCCTCGGAAACTAATGAACTGGTTTGTAAGAGCCGGCCAGCGTGCCAGGTCAGGCAAAGGCTTGCTGGTCTCGAAGTGCCAATTCATGCTGCTTGTCCCCGAGAAGGAGTCGGGACCACAAAGGGTAACTGGCTTTTCCCCATCTCTGTACCACTGTACTGCATGAAGTCAGCTGGTATTTTTCCTGCTACCATCTGAACTCAGAAGGAATGTATTGATGGGGTTTAAAACAAAATTGAACTCCACATTGCTTGCTTGCAACAGAAGACCTTTGTTCCTGACTGAACAGAGACGGGAGGCTCTGGGAGAAGTCACGCTCGCCATGGGGACTGCTGTCCCCACCCACTTGAGAGGATACCGAGGGCAGGAAAAGTGACAGTTGAGCCTGTATGAGTACTTGAGATTCTTCCTAGGATTTACATTTTTAAGTGAAATCTACTACTTGAATTCCACTCTACTGGATAAATATGCATGTTTGAAGTATGTTTAATACAGATTTATGACAGGCCATGCAGCGGTGAAGGGTGAAAAAGCAGGACTGGCTTCCTAAACCCCTTTCTTTCTAAAATAAATACTCTCCAGGAAAACATGCTCACATGACTGCTTTCCCCCTCTGGCTTCCAGGCACTTGTTTATTTCACGCACATATCGCATCTTACTAACCAGGACTGCAAGCTCTTTGGGGGCAGAAACTGTCCTTTCCTTAGGCGGGGTCCTGAAAACTAATATATCCAAGTTCATAGGAGTTTTCCTGGACCTGCTTGCCAGCAGGAGGCTCGGTAGAGAAGCATGCTATCAGAAGCAGTACGCAAACAGAGCCAGCCTAGACTGAAGAGGGGTGAGTTGTGCTTTTCTATCCTAGGAAGCAGCCTGCTTCGTCCTCTCTGCTTTTGGTTACTGTGGTCTCATTCTGAAGTCTAAGAATAAAAGCAGTGTCACAGTGGAACCTTCTGGAAAGATCGTTCCTTGTTTTTCTTAAATATAATTTGTGTTGGTATGTTGCGAACACATCAGCTATCTGTACAGTGAAGTCCTGACCCTGTGTGGGGGAGCTATTGTAATATAATTGGTAACAACTGAGAAATAATTGGAATGTACATTTTTTCACTCAAATCATGCAGGGCTATAGACCTATTATTTATGAATAAATGCATTGTTTATGATACAATCAATGCTAGTGCAGAAACAGCACATTTGGGTGCGGTATTGCAACTCACCATGGTCAGCTTCAAAAAATAGTATGCTTCTAAGTCCTTATCTTAAATAACCTCTATTAGCTGCTTCCATCATTGTGGCTTTATTAGTTCTGTGAACTGGCCATTAGAGGTAGAAAAGACTCATTACATCCTCCAGTCCGTCTCTAGGTAGGAAGCCTGTGGACTAGTCACCTGATGGTTTATTTCTCAAGATTTTCTTTTTAAAGCTGGTTTATTTAATTCCCACCGTGAGAACACTTCAAGTAAACCAGTTTAAAATCCATTGTAAACTGTCAATTACGGAATAAGACGCTGCCAAACATGAGTGTTCCACAGTTTGATCATGTGTCACACGTTTGGATTGCTGGTATCACACACTGTCAGGATTAAAGACTGAGACTGACGGTGCTTTTACTCTTCAGTGTGATTTTTCTGGAAGGAGAAAATTCTTTGGGTGTGAAGGGTTTAAACTATTTTGTGCATATTTTAAAAGATTTAAATGTTTACAATTAAGTAGACAAAAATGAGACGATATCGTTGCGCTCTCAGCTCAAGGATTTGACCTTGTCTGAATAAAGAATAACCCATATCTCTGCATGTCCTGCACATAAGCAAAATAGTGGACATTACAAGGTGTGCCACAATTGCACCTGCATCACTGAGGACAAGCCTGCGTCATTACACCTCGAACAAAAACACGTATGCAATAATCATCTCATATCCACAGATAATGAACACCACAGCCTTGCATGAAAGAAACTCAAAGCACTTATCGGGCCTGATTCTCATTTTATACTAATGCCTCTTTACAGCACTTTGACTGCACAAAAGGGCTTTTAGCTGATGTAAAGGTACTTTGTACTAGGGATGTTAAATATTGGTAAATTGAATAGTCAATTAATCTCATGAATTCTTATCAGCTAGTCGACTATTCTGTAGTTCCTGGGGGTGGGACTGGCAGCCAATGCGCTCCAGCCTCACTTCTGGGGAGCCCCCTGCTACCCCACACTGCTGCATCTCTAGCAGTTTAAAAACCAGCTCCCCTCATGGACTTGCTGCCTGCCACCCTGCTGCCTCTGATAGAGACGTAGCCACGCGGCATGGCAGGGGGCTCCCCAGGAGTGGGGCAGGAATGAGCAGGAACTGAGCCAGGCTGCCTGCCCACCTGGCTCCTAATACACTTTAAATACAGAGCTACAGTGGGGGTAGGTCCCGGACTCCATGCAAGTCGGGACTGAGCCAGGCTGCTGGTCAGCCTACTAAAAAGTTTACTGGAGGGGGAGGGAGGGGAAAAATGCATGTAGTCTTTAGCATTAACCTATGAGCTTTTGCTTCTCAGCTAGTCGACTACACTGTTACATCCCTACTCTAGCTGTGGCTTTCTCCCACTGACTAAGCGCCACCCTCAGAGGCCCCGCTCCCTTCCTGCACTGCAGGTATTTCCGTAACGAAGTGGGTCTGGAGTGAGATGCCAGTCCTCTCCTGTGCTCCAGAGTGCCAGCCGAATATTCTGAGTGTCCCCTTCCGAGGGGGAAAGGGATGCTGCTGTCTGGTGTGGGGAGGACTAACACGTCTACACAGCGATGCACAGCACCACGTCTAAAAGGACAGGCCACCTGGCGGGGGCTCACGTGACAGGGCTAAAAATAGCAGTGTCGATGTTCTCCTTTGGGCCAGAGTACTGACACTGCCATTCGGAGCCCCATCGCACTGGCCTGAGCCAGTCAGGTTCTGAGACTTGCTTCCACGGGTTTGGGTTCTGCTATGTAGACGTACCCAAAAGGTTCCACA